AGCACAACAGTTTCAAGGAAGAGAATATGCAGATAGCGGGGATAAAGGCTATGAAATTAGCTTGACCAGAAAAAAGCAGCATGTATTAATTCCTTATGAAAAATTGTTCTTGAAAAAACATCCATCACGTGGCCTCCAAATTTTAAAAGAAACATTCGTTTGAAGGTCACTGAAATCAATACTCCTACGTATGAAAATTTGATAATTAGGACTAACTTCAAAGCTGTTACGCATTAGTTCAATGGATTTACGTTTCTCTCTCACTTCTAGTGTCATTAGATTGAAAAAACAAACAAAATAACAACAGCAAAAAACAAATTAATGCCGATTTGATTGATTGTAAAATATTTTACCCTCCCCCCTCTCGACTCTGTTTTCGATGATATTCGATTCTGCTCTAGTGGTCACGTGTAAAGGACAATAACCTGTACAAGTGACCGTTTCCAATTTTCTCTTAGAATATTTTTTATAATATAATGACACTGTGTAAGCCAATCACCTGTTTAAGATCAGAGCTGTTCTTATCGACAATGAACGTTAGTCTTAGACAGTTGCCACTGTATCAATTACTAGGCGGGTTCCTGATTTTACTAGATCTAGACTAACCCAACCTTGGTTCAGCATCATGGTGGCTAGGGAACAGCAACTGCAAGAAAGTGTCATTGGTACAGGTGAACAGCGACACGTATTGTACTAGAATTCCTCGTTACACTTTAACTTGGTCAAAGATCCTACACTACAAGATGGTTCATTCAACCGGAAAGGTGTCCACGGCCGTACGCTCTTATTCTCAGGTGGCGCTGCAGTCGAGTTATGAAGAGAGAAAGAGAAAAAAAAAGAATAAAACCCAGACTTCGGCGGGGCTTTACTAGAGATTATAAATGCAAAAAGTAAGCAAAATAATCCACTTTCACCTCAAGAAATGTAAACGAGGCGTTCATATAATGAAAGTGTAAACCAGCTCCTGTGATGTACCGCTTAAACTCTTCGTTGTTGCATGCAGGCGACGTCCGTTTGATTCCTGGGAGGGTGGGTGAGGGTGTTCGTTTTATGTGGCATAGTTGCAAGGCTATCGGATTTGCAACCGCAAGGTCCAGGGTTCGAATGCCGCTAGGGGGCCTGATGTTGTGTCTTTTGGAAAGACATTTTACACGAATTCCCTTTACTTCACCAAGGAGGGAATAGGTACCCGGCTATAGACAGCGAAAGATTTTGTCAGTTTGTAAGGGTTTGAGCACTTTAACAAGCTGCTTGCACTGTGTGCTTCACGGACAGCCGAGTGTTCTATGGTCTTGTAGTAGTAAAAGTTATACAAAGCTTAGAGCTTGCTGTCGAGCAGGGATATGCGAAAAACAAATGCCATTTCTTCTTCTTCTTCTTCTTCTTCTTCTTCTTCTTCTTCTTCTTCTTCTTCTTCTTCTTCTTCTTCTTCTTCTTCTTCTTCTTCTTCTTCTTCTTCTTCTTCTTCTTCTTCTTCTTCTTCTTCTTCTTCTTCTTCTCTTCCTCCTCCTCCTCCTCCTCCTCCTCCTCCTCCTCCTCCTCCTTCTTCTTCTTCTTCTTCTTCTTCTTCTTCTTCTTCTTCTTCTTCTTCTTCATTATTATTATTATTATTATTATTATTATTATTATTATTATTATTATTATTATTATTATTATTATTATTATTACCAATATGATTATTACTTCTTTATCTAGCACCCTCGTCTGTTTGTTGGTATGTAACATGTCACTCAGACTGGGTTGGTTTTGGCAGGAAGGACCGAAGCTGTTCACCTTGCAAAATGTTCTAATCTGTGTCGAAGAGGACGTAAAACTTTGCAATACCAAGTTACAAATGAAACGGTTCAACTCGACGCCACAGACGTCAGTTTGAAAAAACATTTAATTTGTACGTAACATATTAGTCACTCATAGAGAAACATGTGATCTATTACGTTTGTTATTATGCAGAAATGTGTTGTCTATTGCGTATGTAAGAAAAGATGTTGTCACCCGTAGTATTAAAGACATCTTTTATGGTTCTGAAAAAAAAGAGTGTTAACAACCTCAAAAACTTGTGTTTTTGCAGGATTCATTTTATCCAATTATTTCCTTATCAGCTTTACTCAAGTAATCAGTGTTTCTTTATGTAGTCCACAGTTACATTATACTGCTAACTTGTAAGAAACATGCTATTAGTTTCAAGTAATATTCTTTCGCAGTCACGCAAGCCGGTCAGGTGTTCAGTGAGAATATAAATTACTTACCTCCCTCTTTCTCTCTCTCACACCTCCTCTCAAATCCCCTCCCCTTGTTTTCTTCAATTTCTTTCTTTCACTTTTTCTTTCTCTCTCTCCCTCTCTCTCTCTCTCTCTCTCTCTCTCTCTCTCTCTCTCTCTCTCACACACACACACACACTCTCTCTCTTTCTTTCTCTCTATCTCTCACTCTCTATCTCTCTCTATCTTTTTCTCAATCTTTCTCTCTCTCTCTCTCTCTCTCTCTCTCTCTCTCTCTCTCTCGCTCGCTCTATATTATATTTGTGTGTGTGTGTGTGTGTGTGTGTGTGTGTTTGTGTGTGTGTTTGTGTGTGTGTATGTTTGTGTGTGTGTGTGTGTGTGTGTGTGTGTGTGTGTGTGTGTGTGTGTGTGTTTGTGGTTGTGTGTTTGTGTGGGTGCAAATTCAAAAAAGCTGAATTTTAAGTAATTTTAAATTATAAATTTCTGCCGAATCAGAAACTTGGCTCTATAATAATATGTGTGCTGGACTGATATGTGGGGACGCAAGATAGGCTACCGGTGGGGCGGGATGGCGTAGTAGTAGACAGATTACCAAGCAATCTACAAAAGGGTGCCATGGGTAGTGTGTGTCTACCTCTGGTGGCTAGTCTGCTGGTGGTGGGGCGGGCAAAGTTACTTTAATTTAAATTATGTCGTCGGACGGCGCTCATGTTACCTTATGCAGTTGCAAGCGCCGTAAAACCTCCACTAAAACTATACTTAATGTCATCGGTGGCCTAATGGTTAGGCTCTCAAACGCGCAACAGTATGAGTAAGGTCGTGGGTTCGAACATCGTTACGAACCCGAAGTTGTGTCCTTTGGAAAGGCAGTTTACACGAATTTCCCTCACTTCACTTCGGTGAGAATGGGTACCCAGCTATAGACAGTAAAAGAACTTGTCAGTTTGGTTGTGATTGATCGTTTAATCAGCTGCTTGCACTGTATGTTTCCCAGGAAGCTGAGAATGTTTCTGAGTGTTCTCTGGTCTGCTAGGGTAATAATATTGTGTAAAGTGCATACAGCTTGCTGTAGAGTGGGGCTATTCGTTATACAAATGCTATTTATTATTGTTTATATTATTGTTAGTAAATAGAAAACAGGTCATCATAGACTGGTGATCCTCTTTGACATCTCCATTATAACATTAAAAAACGCAAGGGTGGTGAGTTGGAGTTGCTCGTTAGCAAAGGTGTTTGCCTTAGACAAGTGGTTATTAGAGCAGGCTTTTAATTTTGTTTTGCGAGGACTCTCGCTCAAGCCTACGTTGCCAGTGTACAAAAAGAAACGCCTTTACATCTATATCTGATGCAGAAGCTCCTCCGTCTCCCAAGATCGAAAAATAAAAAGCTGTGTTTGTCCGTGTTTCTGTAACTTACAGTTTTTTACTGGGTTGGGTAGTTGGCCCTCCGCAAACTGGCACTTTTCGGGCGACCAGACCTATGCACTTTTAGTCGCCTCTTGCGACACCCATGTATCACGGCATGTGTATTCTTTGCTCCCCACGCCAGGATTTTATGTCTTGTTCCGATTTTCTGTTGAGACTTACCATTCCTTTCTTGTCTTTAACATTTGCTTCCAGGTCAGGATCTCCACATCGAATGAATTCTGTCGTTTGATATGCCCGAAATAAATTATCTCAGTTTATGGAGGGGGCTGGGGGGGATCGGTGTCTCTTCATCCGTTCTATTTTATACTTCTTCATTACTTATTTTCTGTCTCAATGATATTCTTAGAATTCTTTTACAACCGTTCATTCCGAAAACTGTAACCCCTCTCTTTAATTCACACCACTTAATTACCTCCCACTACAAAAGTCTTTATTTTTTAGACTGACACATCATAGCCGTTCTTTCAGGTTCATCGACCTAAGATCTTGTCTTGGGAGAATACACGTTTGATGATAATGAGTAACTGTGAGGACAGAAGTCAAGGGATAATAACAGACACGTGACGGCACGCCTTATGAGCCAAGGACCAGTCGAAGTAGAGATCTAAGTATACTTTATATAGTGCGAGGGGCTTCTAAAAATACAAGTACAAGCGTTGACCTCATTAATCAGATAATCAGTGCGGGTAATGGTCCTGAAATAGCCAGCTAGATACAGACATCTTGTCGATCTTGATCTTAGAACTGAGACATATACTTACTATGATATATTTGTATAAATATACATACGTATGGTAAATTTTACGAGTAATATAATATGAACATGTATTATATGAATACGTTACATTTATATAAATATAATAAAATGATGATAATACGGACTTTCCGGGTGTTTTACAATACATTACATACAGTAGGAACTTCTACGCTAAGGTTGGTAGTGACATTTTTGGCTTTGAGGAAATCATGGGGAAACACGGACTTGGAGTTAGAAACGAGAATGGAGAACTATTAAAATTTGTGGAAATATGTGCAACAAATGGGCTCGTGATAGGAGGAACTGTTTTCCCACATAAACAGATACACAAAGAAAGATGGGTGTCGCCAGACCAACAAACGGAAAGCCAGATTGACCACATATGTATCAACAAGAAATTA